CTGGGAAACCAGTGCTGAGAGAGACAACGACTTAAAGCCTCACTGGTGTGTTTGAAGCTGCTGGAACATGAAAGGTTATTCATGGTGTTGCCAGAATTGGAGGACTGACATATTTGAAAGGCTCTTATTCAGAGAAGATCAGCGTTTCATGAGAAACTCCCTCTTGGATTTGCTTCAATTAGATCTGCTGTGCTAATATTAAACCAAAGGTTCGGGGAGGCAAAATGGTATATTTGTCCGATAAAATAAATGAAAATACCTGTGTCGTGGTCGGGTGTTATGAGTGAATATATATATATATATATACATATATATATTTTTTTTTTCTTTTCCAGTCACTATGCAAGGGGGGGGGGTCCTTTGTTCCAATGGCGGCAACAAGATGAATTTGTCCACAATTCGGAACATGCTGTAGTCTATCACAATCCCCCTCTTTAGCACACTAGGTAAGACTTAATGACAGTATTTGTATCTACCACGCGATGATGTCATCTTATGCCGCTGTGCACACTGTGCTCCATTTGTAATTACAAAATCCCAGTGACAGTCAACAAAAAAGAGTTTACGGTATTAATAGAAAACACTCATGAAAAACAGTAAGAATCGTGGTACCTGAGCATGCCTTCTTGTGCTGCGTAAAGGCGAAATGCTGTATTGTCGTGTTATATGGAGTAGAACGATGTTGCCTTTCGTCCAAATTCCCATGTTAAGTTATTCTTCAATCGACAATATGAACAAATGGTTTCCTTTTTCATATAATCAGTTTTAATTCATTAAATCCACATCATGAATAGCAGCTAAGTGTATTTTCTTGTCTAGAAACATGTTCAGTCGGGCAATTTCAAACACAAATATACATTTCAGTTGCATGAATAGGTTGGATGGTCATTTCGCAATGCGACTTTGTTGTTGGTTTTTTTTTTTTTTTTATGTACCGTAATGCAGTTTTGAAAACATTTATTCTGCACATCTCAAAATTCATAATCTGAACTCAGTACTGTATTATGGAAACAAATAACATATTGGCCACACCTCCTGGCTGATGTACGTGCAACAAAAACATTTGTTTTGGCTTTGCTTTGCTGTGTAGCACTATGAATACTATAGCTGTGTCTAATTTTCTCTCCAGGCACTTAAGAAATTGCCTGCTATTTTGTTGATAAAAATTGGCTATGCGCTGCTTTAATGCGGTTCCCGCCAGACTTCTGTGAAACGTGTTCTCGATCACCTAAGCACTCACTTCATTACGGTGTTTCGCAATTACAAGCAGTGAGCATGGCTTCTTCGTCATTCCTTCATGAGAACAACAACTCGTCAGTGTATTTTATTCACCACCATGGAGGCGATGATTAATGACTGTGGAGCTACTCCGCAACGTGTGTCGCTGCACTAATAGCCAGCCAAAGCTCGATGCTAACTAGCTGGTTTTGCATAGGTAACATCCAGCTTGCCTACTTTCCGCAGGTGGATCATGCAAGCACATTTTGTCAAATTACACACGTTTGTCCACCCCAGTAAAGCTTTTTGGGGCAGTCTTTGTGGTTAAATTATTACAAATACTTAAAAATCTATAAAAATTCTAAAACCGTTCCGCTATTAAATGTGTTTTCATGAGGTGCAAATTGCACATTTTGACTCACCAACTACGATCCGGAAACACTTATTTCGAGCCTTGATATTTATATTTTGTATATTTCAAATTGATTATTATTCCTAATCTGCCCTTGTTTTTTTCTCCAGCACACCTGTGACCCTTATAAATGGATTAGAAATGGATGGATAATAATAGTAATGATAATAATAATAATAAGAAGAAGAAGAAGAATGTGTAATATCGCAATATATTTAATAATACATAATGTAATATTTATCAGAATGTCCTGATCACATTTTCTCTGACCCAAATCCGAGTCATCTGATTTTGAGGATCTGCCAATGCCGAGTCCCGTTCCAATATCTTGGCCAAGTATTAAGGAGGAAAGAAGACGGCATGCAAATTATCTTCATTTGTAAAACTATCCCAACATGATGCATTTCATAGAGAAAGTGGAGCAGAGATTTGAACCAAGTAAAACATTTTAATATTTCTTTTTTTCGACACATCAGGTTTGAAGATTTAAGATTTAAGATATCCTTTATTTGTCCCACACTTTTTGAAGTAGCGTATAAAATTAGTCTTGTTAAATGCAGCTCTGTCCTCCAACCATGCGAAATGGTCAATGGCACACATTGCAAGTCGACCTTTCGCTTTCCATATTTCCATACTGTGTAAAGCACAGGTGTCAAACTCAAGGCCCGGGGCCCAGATTTGGCCCGCCACATCATTTTATGTGGCCTGCAAAAGCAAATCAAGCATGTCCAATTCCATAATGCTTCCTAAAGTCTGAACCAAAATTCCAAATTGTCATATGTAATCCACAATAACAGTCATTATTCTTGACTGATTTTAAAAGTAGTTATTCATCAATTTGTTGTGCGCTGTGCATGTAATATGTGGAGGTGATTAAACATGTATATGGTTTCCCAAATTCATCACGGCCCTCCAAGGCAAACCGTAACTACAATGTGGCCTGCGACAAAGATAATTTTGACACCCCTGGTGTAAAGTGTCGACATTACCATTGTTACATGATGCATGCTTCACGTTAGCTTCCCGCGACAACTACCTGGGCGTACTTCCCACTGGCTTTTTTTTTTGTGTGTGTGTTTTCGTTTTTGGCAGTATGTATGAACACTTCATTTCCGCATTCACAGAGGCGTGCTAACTTCCGGTCTAACGCACAGTGACTGCATCAAACTCTACTCAAATATAACCGCAGTCTACTGAAATGGCGTGAGGTTACCGTAAATGACGTGTTACCTTATTAAATGCTCCAGTTATCCAAGTGTCGGCAAAGCGCTCAAAGCACCATACCTCATTTAATGACCCATTTGCTCTGTCACAGTACGTGCAGGTCCGTGTGAACAGATGCTTATTTTGACACCCTCAACTCAACTTTGTTTATAGAGCACAAAAACAAGCACAAAACAGAATAGAAAGCCTTTAGTGTCGCATTCTATGGTTCAGATGCAACAAAAATTGAGCTTATAAAAACACAAACAACAACCAATAATAAAATAATATTGACAAACATGTACAGTACTACTAACTGCAGGATGAGGATAAATGTTCTTGCAAAGCTTTGTGACGGAGCGGCCGATTTCATCGCCTTGCTATAGCCGCAGTGAGAGAGCATGTAGCTTCGTAACTCGCCGGGTATCCAAACAAGGAAATACAAGGAGAAAAAGAGACAGATTACCTCCATTGAGTCGTTGTTGCATTTGTTAAAGTGTGTCTCAGAATGTACAGGTAAAAACGTTCAATCTCCTTTGTAGTACCGGCTCACTGGTGAACGTTTTCAAATAAAAAGCTGAACATATTGCCCGGCACGCCACAGAGTTGGCAGGAGGAGCTATGCCTTTGTCTTTAAAAAGTCACTTCTTTGAATGACATTTCCACCTTGCAAAACACCAGCGTTGAGCTGTTGAATAAAACTATTACAAAGACCGACGTTAACACAATTTTAAAGGTAAATATCTTTGGACTGATGTCTCAGCCAGTCGCTCACAACACTTTTGAGTTCATTGTCACTTTCAAACTTTGTGCCAACTACTGTGAACTGCTGAGGCAGGTTACGAAAGACAAAGAACAAACACAGGGGTAATCACTCAGGAGTCATCTTGCATCATGACAACGCAAGGCCTCACAGAGCAGCCCAAACATCAACGAGCTGGGCTGAGAACTGCTCCCTCATCCCCCTTACAGCACAGACCTTGCCCCTTCAGACTTTCACCTGTTTGGTCCCTTAAAAAGCGTTCACGAGAGGCACCAAGTTTGAAAGTGACAAAGTCAAAAGTGTTGTGAGCCACTAGCTGAGACATCAGTCCAAAGATTTTTACGCTGAGGGAATATGGAAGCTTGTGCACAGATGGGACAAGTGTGTGACAATGCCGGGAGACTACGTTGGGAAAAAAAAGTCCCTATACTGAAAAATTCACCTTATTTTTTGAATGACCCTCGTACAAAAAAATACAAATATTTCAAAACCCGATGTGCTAGAAAAAGGAAGACATTTTTTCCAAAATACATTGAGGGAAACATAAAGCCATATCTGACTCAAATTTTCTGTTGAACAGTGTCATTAGCCAGTCCCTCAATGATCGAGTTTCAACCACAAGATGTCTTTAATTCCAGCATGTCAATCTTAATCAAGTCATCTGTTGAAAGGTAAATTACTGTCAGTGTTCCTTCTCCCTTCTTCAACTGACACTTAACACATGCAAACTGCGTCCTTTCACCTATTATTATTATTATTAACCAATTAATTTCTTTCCCAATTGCTCAAATGAAATGGAACAGTTTGTTTCCTGGTGGTGCTGATGGAGACCACAATGTGTCTTACCACCCGGAAGTACACGTAAATTCACGAAAAGTTATCAGCTGAAACGGATTCTGAATAATTTATATTAGAATTTTAATCACTAAACTTGAATAAATGGATTGAAGAACTGAATCTGAATTTCATGCGTTGAATTTGCATTGAGATCACATTTTTTTCCCCAGACTTTGTGTCACATGATCATAATGAAGACGCTGATTGGACAAAGAGGCGATCTAAGTTGTGCAATCGATTGCTCATCCTCAAGTTACCCAATACCCACATGTTCTTCACACGACCTGAATTTGCTGAGATCAACTAAAACCCAGTTTCTCCCGAAACGCAGTGAATTGAAAATTTGAATTTTTAACTCATAAAACTGCATGTGAAAAGTCGAGCAAACTGAATCTGTGTGGAAAAGATTAGAATTTGTATTTGTAATACTGAACAGGAAAAAAAATATATACAGAATGTAATTTTCAGTGAGGAATTCAAATTCAGATTCATTTTTTGAAAGTAATTTTTAAAATTAAACAATGCAAATTCAATTTCTGCAATTCAGATTCATTTTTAACGCCGATTCGTCGTCTGGTGGCACACATTTCAGCCCATAAAATGTGCTTTTGTTTCTTAATTGCTGTGTGATTTGTGATCCCTCTTCTTTCAATGATCCACTTCGTGTGTTCCATCGGTTCAATCCGCGTGGAGTTTGTGTCCAGGTGTTCTAAGCGCCTCCCTCTTCTGCTGCTGCTGCTGCTGCTGCTGCTTGGCTACATTGTATCAGTTCCCACACGGAGAGCCACCGCCGCCGCGCTGTTTCACGCACAATCGGCGAATACGGAGGAATTAACCTGAGTGGAAAGCTATTCGCTGTGGGATTACATTGGCCGAGGGTCGCGGGAGAGGAGCGGGCTTGTTATTGGGTCTACCGGCTGCACCTCGAACATGTCCTCTTCCTCCCCCCCCGGGCTCGATCGTCTTCGTTGTTGACGCGAACGTTATCTCCGCTTGAGATGGCACAAGTCCAGTGAATCGCTGGCCTCCCTTCCTCTCCTGTGGTGGATGTCTTTGGGGATTGCGCCGCCACTGCTGTCGCCTGCTCCAGTCGTTCTCGAGCTGCTGGTGCAATTCGAAAGCCGTTATTCTGACTTGTACTTTTTCTTTTTTTTGGACGGAGTAGCCGTCACCATGGAAAAACGAGGACCCGGAATACGCATGGCGAGCTAAGTCAGTAAGTTGATCCCCCTTTATTGTTGTTATGACTCTTTGGATGTTTATCGTTAGCCCGAGGTTGGCTAGCTGGGGAGCAGATAGCCAACACAGCATGCCGCAGAGACGAAGCTAATGTAGCCCAGGCTGAGCTCATTGTTTCAGTCTACTCGTCAGATCAGCTTATCGCAAGCAGCCGAACTCCCCGTGAGCCTCTGGGGCTTCAGCTCATCTAAACAACATGGAAAAGTACGAAAAATATTCACGTCCTACCGACGAACGATCAACCTCACATCGGTGGAGTACTTAAAGTGCTGTATATCGAGTAAACAATTCGCATATCATCTGACGTGATTGGCCGAATAAAGGCACGCCACTAAAGTGGAAAGGATTAGGGGTTAGGATCAAAGTACTGCACCTCGTGTCTGACACACAGGACTCCTAATGAACTCATGCAACTTCCGAAATACAGTGCACCAGGTACCCCAGGGGGTCCTCAGGGGGGAGTTCTCACGAGCATCCCGAAGGGAAAGCATGTTGTGAAAGGTGTCACTGTTGAGGGTATTTCCCATTTGCTTGCGTAAGTTGCTGTCAACAAGAGTAGGTGCAGTGTTTCAGTTTGGTACCAAATCTTGGAGGAGCACTCTCAGGAGATGACACCATGGTTACCAGCTTTCCATCGAAAGCAGATTGCCTGCATGCAGTTTGCTGTAGCAAATGGTTTGTTTATAAGTTGTCTGCTTTACTCCAAGCACACAGCCATTAGTTAAACAAATATGGCTGCTCCCGTGTCATTTGGGAAGCTGGTATTTCGGTGTGCTTTCTAAGCGGCTAATCATCTTGAGGCCTGCCAAACAGTCTTTCAAGTTGAGGAGTCAATCTGAGGTTGTCCATGTCAGATACAATCGAGGCTCCAGGAAATACTTTTACTTAAAAAGGGGGTGTGGCCCTTGGGTAAAGCCTGTCTGAGGCAGAACTATGTGTAAAACGTCTGTTGTGGTCACAAAACCGGTTTGTAATGTGTTCGGTCAATCAAGTTCTTGTCAGTCTACCATTTGCATTATAAATGCTTGCCAACAGTTAATTCTACCGCAATTGTATTTTGATAATTGTTTACCTTAATCAAGCAAAGGACATACTCAGTTGAATAAATAATATGGAAATAATTGTCTTTGGAGGGAGGGCTCATTTGATTATGAACTAGCTAAGTTCAAGGAACAATATTCATCAGGAGTAACCATTATGTTGAGTTTAGTGTTTTCCATCATTTTCACATTGAACCTCAGAGAGTTACGACAAGAGTTGTTTCCGAAAGAGAATGCCAGGAATCTTTGTTGCTCTGTGGACATTATACCTGTACTGATCAAGGTGTAACAGAAAGATACACTAAACCCGCTTACTTGAGGGATAGATGCTTATTGATATGTGTATTCCGAAATGGTACTGACAGAAGGTTGGAAGAGCTCTTTTATAAATCCAATAGGTACTGACACAAGATTTTGCATCAATGAGTTCTGTGTCAACAAGCAGAGCAATATGTTGGCTCACTCAATTTTTAAAGGGGGCTTAGTTTTTTTTGTTCTACCACTTTGTGCTTTGAGTAGTCGCTTTAACACAGACATGTTTTATTTGTATTTTTCATTCAATCAATTAATGCTAAGTTTTTATCAAATGCTACCGTTCTGTTTGGCTCACATTATGTTTTTGAATGGTCCAAAGTGTGACCTCTAATTAGCATCAAAGGTGTCTTCAAAGTTGTAATCTGTCGGTCTATTTAAAGAGTGACAAATAGTCATTGTGCTGCTTGGTGTGTACCACACTAAACATGGACTCTAGCAAGCAAGGGCGAAAGTTGTCTCAGTTTAGAAAGAAAATTAAATACAAGCACTGAAAGGTAAAGGCTATAAGATGTTCTCTAAGCAGCTTTTTGTTCTTATGACTACAGTTGCACGTATTACATATACAGCACTGAAAAGCCGGGCTCCCATTCAGTTGAATGGTCTGCTGAGGCATGGGCTGCTGGTACATTTTTACAACAAGCTCTGCTATTTTATCAACTGGTAAATTTTGAAATGATAAATATGGGCACACAATGTTCTAAAACCCGAAACATGCGTATTATCAGTGTATACTTGACAGCGAACATGGAAGTGGACTTCTTGCGTCTATCATAGGTTGTCTCGGCAGCAGCGGCTGCGTGTCCTTCCTTCCTCTAAGCTTCCTTAAGATGATTGCCATTGGCTGGATTTAGGTGTCGATCAGCGGCGAATTTGAAAGGAGCTATGTGGTTGGTTGAACTGAATTTAACATAAGATTGGCCAGGTCACGTGACTGATATCGTCCTCATTTCGATGTTAATCGGTCGAATGCTCAGAACTCGATTTAGATACCAAAAAGATATATTGCGCGGCCCTACCCAACACACAGAGCTAAAAATACTTGAGAATGGCTCAGAGCAAAGCTTTGGACTATTCTGAAGTGGCCTTAATCTGAATCCTATTGAACATCTCTGGAAGGAGCTGAAACATACCATCTGGGGAAAGTACCATTCAAACCTGAGACACCTGCAGCAGTTTGCTCATGAAGAGTGGGCCAAAGTACCTGCTGACAGGTGCAGAAGTCAAATTGAAACTCCCAAAACTTGTTTGATTGTAGTGATTGCCACACAAGGTTGTGCAATAACCTATCAGAGAACCATCATTTTTGTCCAATCTTGTATGTTTTTTTGTTTTTTTTTTTTTTTGCAGAATGATTCTCTTGAGGCACAATTCAAAAGCAACATCTGACGTTCACTGGTTAATTTTCATCAAATTTTATTCTTATTTTTGTCAGATTATAATTATTTCCGTGACCACTGTGGGTTTTTCTTTTGTTAAGAGGATCACTAATAATTGTTTCCTCAGAGGTATGTCATAGCAGAGTGACACGTTTCAAACTTCCTATTTCAACAAAGAATCGAGACATGGGTCATTCAAATTCAGTGTCAGTGTGTGATCCTGAGCGATCGCAGCTCATACAAGAACACAAAGCTGTTCCACCTCAGTTGAAGGGTCCCCAAAAGCTATCAAAATTTACGCGCCATAGCAGCTTTATGAGACCATTGTTAAGTTGTGTGAAAAAAAAAAAAAAGACTGCATGGTCACTTTGTGGTCTTTGTCTAATCTGTTTTTTATGATTTGATCTCAGTATACACTTGGAATATTAGCTCTTGATGCATTCTACATTGTTTCTTGACTTGGCTAATGCAGTCTTCTTTTTGGCACATCAATATCATATGTGACAACACAGAAGTACAACCATATTATATAAGTATTACAAATATGGAATGCTATAATAAATATTCACACCCCTAGTTGAGATGTGTTAAATGCCTTAGAAATGATCCAACAGTAACTGTCTTGCGCACCTTTTTCTTATTTATTTCTTTTCCTACTCATTTCCCACAACAATCACGTCATGTTAGACTCAAACGTCATCACTAACGTTGAGATGCGTTTTGGACCAAGCTAAACTAAGTTTGCTATTAACTTGCGCCATTTGCAAAATGAATACAATATAATGTGTTCTAACTAGTGATGGCAGTCTATATTAGATTAGGCCAAACAAAAAAGAGTGTGTGTTTCCGGTAACATGAAATTTCAGCATAGGGTCGGTAGGTCGGACAAAGTTTTTTTTTTTTAAATCTTTTTTTCCCCCATCAAAAATGTAAACAAAATAACCATAAAACATAAAACAAGACATTGAACCCGCCGCTCGGCGGCCGGCGACGCCCCCAACCAAT